CCACCACCCAGCGAACTTACTATTCTTTTAGAGGACCCTGGTTCAATTCCCAGCACCCACATGGTGGCTCACAACCATCTGTAATTCTAGTCCTGGGGGAATCAATGGCCTCTTCTGGCCTCCATGGCAAAAGGCACTCTAGTGATACACAGACATACATGTGAAATACTCACACACATAAAATAAATTTAAACAAAAGTTAAAGACAGCATTTTTCATTCATTTCCTTTCTTCTTTTGCATTGCTAGGCCTCATGCAGGCTAAGCAGGTTCTTTACATTGAGCTCTGCCCCTAGCTGGAGAAGTATCCCCATAATCAAAACAGGAAGACAATCTAAATATTCATCCAAAGGTAGGTAAACACAATATGGCACACTCAGACTGGAGCAGTGAGGTGGGTAGGCACAGGATGGCACACTCAGATTGGAGCAGAGAGGTGGGTGGGCACGGGATGGCACACTCAGACTGGAGCAGTGAGGTGGGTGGGCACGGGATGGCACACTCAGACTGGAGCAGTGAGGTGGGTGGGCACAGGATGGCACACTCAGACTGGAGCAGTATTCAGCTTTGAAGGGTAAGGAAATGGGGACTGGCCATGTAGCTCTGTGGTACTGCCCCCGTTTTTTGTCAGATAGGATCTTATTCTGTAGCTCTGGCTATCCCAGAACTCACTATGGAGACTGCGGAGGCCCAAAAAATGTGAGCCGACTGCCACCTTGTCTGACAGTCAGAGTTGGGAGGTTGCTCAAAATGGCTGACAAGCATAGCTGCACGTGTTGATATTAAGAGAGCTCATACAAGTAGATCCAGTCCATCCTGACAGAGGTTACCTGGGGTGTGGCTGCCTTCAGGATACCCGGTCTAGGGTGGCTTCATTGCCTAAACAACAGAACGCTAATGACTTGACGGCTCAAAGTGTTGAATCAATTAACTGTTCAGTTGTCTTTTGTATCATGTTAAAGTCATCTTTCGTTGTCTTCTTCCCCTTTTGTATTGGGGTATAAAGTGTGGAAAATTAAACAGGGGTGATGTCAGTGTTCACTGGAGCGCCCTTCCAGTGCTTTCTCTGGTCTCAGTCCTATTATTTTCACATGCATCTTCATATTCCTTACTAATATTCTAAATTCTCACACCCCCACCCTGTTAAGAGGGTTTTTTGTGTGTCAAGGCAGACCAGTGTTCATAGACCAGGCTGGCCTTGAACTCACAGAGATATGCCTGCCTTTGCCCCCAAGTGCTGGGATCAGAAAGTGTATGCAACCACACTTATCTCAATGTCTGTGTGCATGTGTGTGCATGTGTGTGCATGTGCGTGTGTAAGAAGTTAAAGATGTTGCTCACTCCATAGAGTGCTTGCCTAGCATGCAGGAGGCCGTGGGTCTGAGTCCCCAACACTACCTGTACTCTTAGCACTTGGGAAGTAGACTGGAGGTGGAGAAGGAATTCAAAGTGTCCTCGGGGGCATGGCGTCTGAGGCCAGCATGTGTTACGAGACCATCTCAATATGTGTGTGTGTGTGTGTATGTGTGTGTGTGCACGTGTATATGTTTATAATATGTTTCACCCCATACATACACAGGCACAGAAAAGTAACTAAAACTACAACATAGGACTGGAGAGATGAGTCAGCAGGTGGCGGAGTTTGTGGCAAAGGCTGGTGACTGAGTTCTGCTAGCAGAACCTATGTAAAGATGGATGGAGAGGACCAACCCCGTAAAGTCAGCCTCCAACCTCCGGAAGATGCCCTTGGCACCTGCACCTCACCCCATCGCACACACAACTAAATAATGGTAAAGGCGGCTGAGATGGCTCAGTGCTTACAAGCATGGCTCTTTAAGAGGACCCAAATTTGGTTCCCAGAACTCAGGAGGCAGAATCTCTACAAATTTGAGGCCAGCCTGGTCTACATAATGAATTCCAGGATAGCCGGAGATATGTCAAGAGACTCGGCCTCAAAAAACAAAAACAAAGAAACAAAAAAAGCAAAAACAAAAAAAAAACTTTTAAAAATTGTTAAAATGACAAGTATCATATGTATTTTATTTATGTGCCTCCCACACACACACAGAGAGATTAAAAACCATGACAACAAACCCTGGACCAGAACAAATTTCCATTTCCATGCAAGATATTACTGGAATACACAGCACAGTTGGAATATGGGTCGTAAATTAGATGCCTAAATTGATGTTAAATTTTACAATTCTGATACTTACGCTATCAATATGTAAGAGACCCTTCCTTTTAGGATACACTAAATATTATATGTACAAAGTGGTGAAAGGCACTCTTGTACAGTTCACGGTCGAATGCTGGGGAAGGCGTATGTACTCGGGAAGGGCCAAATGTCAGCTGGAGAATCTCAATGAAGCCAGTTTTCTGTACAGTTCTTGTAACCTTACTGCATGCTTGGAAGTAGTGGAAAAGAATGTTTCCAAAAATTAACACATCTGAGATGAAATGGATCTCTCCCAAATCTTCTCTACCCCACCCACTCTGCCCATCTAAGCCCTCTCCAGCGGCTCCCCGGGAAATCCTGGGACCTGAGAGGAGGCTCAGTGGTGAAGGCACTTGCTGTCAAGTCTGACCATAGGAGTTGGCTCCCCAGACTACATACGGAAGGAGAGAACTGACCCTGCAAGTCGTCTGCTGACTTCCACACTAACTCCTCCACAAACAAATATAATTGATTTTTTTAATTCTTTTTTTTTATCGGAAGGGCATCTCAGGATTCATTCATTCCTGAAGATCTACCCACGTTTATTCTTCAAACACCTTTTATTTTAATTCTTGAAGCCAACTTTCTCCCCTCTTATTCCAGTCGGATCCATTTCCAAGTCCTATTGACTGAAGCACTGGGATGTTTCCAGGGCCCCTCCCCTCTCGCTCAACTTCCTGCTGCCCCTTGAGCCTCAACCATCACTTTCTGTCCCTCTCCTGTCCTCAAGTGTGCCTCATGCTGTCTGTCCCCTGCACTGAAATCCATCACCCTTTCCTTTGTGACTTTTAGCGTTTACGCTAAACTCGCTAAGTTCTAGTTCCCGAAGTGTTTCGCCTGTTGTTATCTAATGTTGCCCACGACAGATAAAGCTGTTAGCTTCCGTTTATTTAGATAGCCTCACTCCAGAGCACAGACTGACCCCATGCTGGCCTTGAACTCCTGGCAACCCGGCTGCTTCAGCTTCTCCAATGCCGAGTGATAACTGGCGTGGAACACCATCTCCTCTCAATAGCTCCTCGCTGGTCCCCAGTGTCACCCTTATTTCATTTTAATCCAGGTCACTGAACCCTTCTGCTTAGAACCGTCCCACGACTTGGAGGTTGCGCACTTCCCTCCCTCCCAGGGCTCCTTGGGCAGATGCATCAGTCGCCCCCTCGCAGGGTCAGGCAGCTATTTACAAAGTAACTGGATGCTGGGAAGTTCCCTAGGGAACATGTGATGGCTGCGGCTGTAAGGACTGTCCTCGGTTCCCACTGAAAAAAGACCATACTTGGCCTAGTGAAAGCCAGCCCTCCCTTCGGGGAGCCTCTGGGACACGCTGGGGAGGGGTCGGAGAGCTGGGGAACCCTCAGGGCTCCACCCTTCTTGCCAGTCTGGACACTCACGCTGCTTCCATGCCCCAGCCTGGACCGACCCCGCCATAGGCAGCGATGAGGGGGGCTATTCCAGGAGCACCCCAGTCTCCCAGCCTGCAAGCAGAGACCTAATAAGGCCGGGCTGGCAGCCGCGGGCCCTGCCCCCCACTCCACCCCCGCGCATTCTTCTGCCTTGTAAGGCCTGGCCATCAGCGGCCCCGCCAGCCGGGTCTCCGCCCCCAGAACTCAGAGCAGTAGCCCCAGCATCAGCCAGCCAGCTCCCGCAGCACCGCCGCACCGTCCAGGACTTTGCTTCTCTGCAGCAGGTGGGAGATGGCGCAGCTTCTGGGCAGCTACAGTAGGTGGCCAGGCCGAACCTCACCTGGCCCTCAGAGGGCTGTGACGTGACGTGCAGAGTGGTGTGGGCTGGGGTTGCTACCTTGCTTGGGTCCTATCGGTACCCTGGCTCGGGACTGAGCAATTGAAGGTTCTACGTCCCCAAAAAGTGGTCTTTGGGCAAGGAAAAGTGTACAGAGCGCCCTTTTGCTAAGGAGCCTCACACATCGAGCCCAGAGCTGCAGGCTAACTGCCCATAGAGATGCCGGTGAGGGGGTGGGATGGGGCGCCCTGACCCAAGAAACCGTGTCAGAGGAAACTGAGCCCTGCAGGGCTCCATTCACCTCCAGAACACAGATTTCCTTTTCCCCACTTTGCGAACCCCGGGGCAGGAGACACCTCCCGCTGCCTATACCCCAATGCTGTGTGCACCAGACAGAACAGAAGGTCTGGGTCCCTGCTCCTTCTCAGCCCCGCAGCTGCCCTCGTTGCTTCCAGGGATGTGGAGTACTTGGTCTCTGATAAACTGGTTCAAGAGCGGAGTGGGGCATCTGGCATTGCCCAGCTATGGGGATAGTAATAAGTAAGGGGCCTGGCCTGGCTTCGGCCTGGGTGTCACCTGTAGGAAGAAGTGGTCTAGTCATGGCCACGCCAAGTCCCAGCTGTCTGATCCTTGGTGTCTAGGACCCAAGAAAGGGGAAAATATGGCTTCAGGGTTAAGGCCCCAGTTTAGCCCTAACCTTGGTCACTCAACCAAATCTAGAAACTGCCTGGCCACAGACTTTGCCACCCACTGCCCCCAGCCTAATGTGTTGTCCTGGCATCCAACCCTCTCATGGGCATGCACTTCCCTTTGTGTGTGTACGGGGGAGGGGGCGGCCTCTCATGAGTGCTAGGGATGAAGAGGGCAGGGATACAGGTGGGTGTGGCGGCAAGCAATAGAGGAGCCTAGCAGACAGGAAGGGCTCCCATCCAGCACCGCACCAAGATACACCAAGACCTGGTGTTTGATGGGCTGCTGTGTGATGGGGGTCCACTGGGCCTTACACAGCTAGAATCTCAAGACTACAGGCAGGTGCAGCCTGAAGACCTGCTGGAGCTGACCAGGATCCCAGCTGGGGCTGGGGTGGGGGTGGGGGTATACTACAGGCAGGGGTGGAGGAAGTAGTGCATAGGCCCCAGGCCTAGGGATACAGAGCACAGGACAGGCGGCAGACATACTGGGGCCTTGGCTAGTTGACGGGAGGCCGACACTAAGTCTTGAGATGTATTCTTGGCACAAGCTATGGCGGATTCAGGCTGAGTGCTTTCCCTGGCTTCAGTTTCCCCATCTGTACAGTGGTGGTCACACAACCTCTCACTACAGAGTCATCAGCGAGCCTGGTGCTGCAGACTGCACTAGCGGTAAGGAATGAGGGAGTTTGCAAACATTGTCAAGATAAGGGTGAAGACCAGCACCCTGGGGACTCCAGAGCTCAGCTGGAGGGAGGAAGGCCTGGGAATGGCTGTAGAATGCTAGCGGTCACCAGGATGGCCTCTCATCAAGGGGACACAGTGTGATGGGCCAGGATCAGCTAGAAACTGGGAGAACACACTGGAGCCTTTAATGCCAGGCTGGGGGACCCAGGTTTGCTCTGTGTGTGTGTGGGGGGGAGAATACACAGACCTCTGAAGGTTTTAAGGAGACAAGTGAAGGTCTGAATTTGAAAGGAATGGGAAGGACTGGTCCAAGGCCAAAAGGTTACTTCTAAATGAATCTAGTTGCAGTCTAAATGGATCTAGTTTCAACTTGAGCAATGGGGGGGGGGGGGGGGGGGGGGGGGGCAGGATAAAATTGTTGCCACCTGGGACCAGTCAGGCTCCCTGAGGAGAGCAGCTGGGTTCCACAGACCAGAGGAAATGGGAGGGGGGTGACAGTGCAGAAGATGGAGAGGCTGGGAGGGCAGAGGGATGGAGAGGGATGGAGAGGGATGGAGAGGGATGGAGAGGGATAGGGAGAGCAGAGGGATGGGGGAGGGTAATATCAAGAGTATTGTGCTGCTGGTCAGCCCCCTCCTAGTAGGGCCCTACCTCCCTGTCACTGTGAGATGATGGTCACACGCTATCAAGGAATATTGTAGTAGACAGTGCACCTTCATGGTTGGCACCAAGCCAAACCCAATGTTTCACCCAGTCCTAGCAAAATTAGTTCTTTTTATTCCCAGCACCACTCCAGGGACTCTCTAGACACCAAATGCCCATCATCATCCCACACCTCTTCCTGCAGGGACGCCCCAACACCTGAAGCCAAGATGTCCAGCAAGCGGGCCAAGGCCAAGACCACCAAGAAGCGGCCCCAGAGGGCTACATCGAATGTCTTCGCCATGTTTGACCAGTCCCAGATCCAGGAGTTTAAGGAGGCCTTCAACATGATTGATCAGAACCGTGATGGCTTCATTGACAAGGAGGATCTACATGACATGCTGGCCTCTCTGGGTGAGTAGGCCAGGTAGATGGGGACCTACGTGGGGCGGAGAGAAGGGCGGCTTGGCACTTACAGGGTGCTTCCTGTAAAATGAGACCTGCGGCGTTACCCTACAGGTAGTATTGCTCTGACTGCCCACTTAGCAGAGAGAAAGACTGAGGTATGGAGCAGGTCATCACAGGGATCTGAACCCGGACAGTGCTCTAGTCTAGATCTTCTCAACATCTCAGAAAGAAAAGACTGTTGTGGGAAGAGGGGCAGGTCCCCAAGGGTTAAGAGCTCCTTGGAGCATCCTAAAAAAAACAAGGCAAGGGACATGAAGCTCAGAGGGACAGGGCCATAAAGGTGCCCCCTCTTGGTCAGGCAGCACCTTGTGTTTAGGGCTTCACATCCCTGAGACTGAATGGGTCTAAATAGCCAATAGGCAGAGAAAAACACGTGCCTGTGTCTGGTGGGTCCAAGGATCAGATGTGATCTTCTGGTTAAAGAACACTGTCCTCCCGGGAGAACACGGTCCACAGAATCAACTAAGCAGGGCCCATAGAGGCTCACAGAGGCTGAAGCAACAATCACGGTGTCTGCACATATGTTATGGTTGTTAGCTTGGTGTTTTTATAGGACTCTCAACAGTGGAAATAGGGGTGCCTCTGACTCTTTCCCCTGCTCTTGGGACCCTCTTCCTCCTACTGGGTGGCCTTGTCCAGCCTAGATCTGAGGGTTTGTGCCTAGTCTGATTGTATCTTGTCACACGTGTTCTGTTGATAGTCCTGGGAGGTCTGCCCTTTCCTGAAGGGAAACGGAGAAAGAGGAGAGGGGAGGTGGGGTGGAGGAGAGGAGGGGACTGGGAAAAGTGGAGGGAGGGGAAACTGTGGTCGGGAAGTATTATACGAGAGAGAAGAATAAATAAAAGAAAAACAAAAAAAATGCTACCCTCCAAAAAGAGAAAGAAAGAAAGGATAAAAAAACCTCAAAACAGGGCTGGAGAGATGGCTCAGTGGTTAGGAGCATTGCCTGCTCTTCCAAAGGTCCTGAGTTCAATTCCCAGCAACCACATGGTGGCTCACAACCATCTGTAATGAGGTCTGGTGCCCTCTTCTGGCCTGCAGACATACACACAAACAGAATATTGTGTACATAATAAATAAATATTTAAAAAAAAAACTCAAAACACTGTCCTCAAATTAAAAAATAGAAAGGGAAGCAAGTAAGACAATAGCAAGCTCTGCAGCCATCATCCTAATTCTCCTTGAAACCTCTTGGGGGTGGCAGTGAGAGACTCAGAAAGAACCTGCAATCTGTCCAAGGTCACACAGCAGCCCCTTGTTCAGTTAGGATTTCAACTCAGCAGAGACAGCAGCATCCCGAGCTGTGCCAAAGACTGCCATGAGACCTTTAGGACCACTGACTTAGCTCACAGTACTAAAGACACAGGAAGCTGAGGCACAGAGCTAGTGTAAATCCAATGCTCCCTGATTTAACCACTTCTGAATCATTTCTGGAACCCGGGGATAGACCGCCTGAGTTTAGTTGCTGTGTGCCAGGCACAGCGGTACAGGGGTTGGGGTTGGTCTCCCGGTGGAATGGTGAAGGAGCCAGGGGCTTGTGGCATTCCCTCACACCTTTGTTTTGGTTGTTTTTTTTTTTTTTTGTTTGTTTGTTTGGTTGGTTTTTTGAAACCGGGTTTCTCTGTAGGTTTTTTTTGTTTTTTTTTGTTTTTTTGAGCCTGTCCTAGTACTAGCTTTTGTAGACCAGGCTGGCCTTGAACTCACAGAGCTCCTTTTGCCTCTGCCTCTGGGATTAAAGGAGTGCAGCCCAGCTTATTTCCTCATACCTTAAAAGCAGGCAGGGACAGGAACTGGGTGCCCAGAGGGCAGGAAATCGGTTGCCTGGCACCTGCTTCCCAGCCTACAAAGTTCACTGTGGGGAGGTCACTGGGAATGAGTTACCCATGCTGGGTCAGAGAGTGAGGAACAGCAGCCCCAATGCCCACGCACCACAGGGAAGAACCCCACTGATGAGTACCTGGAGGGCATGATGAGCGAGGCGCCGGGACCCATCAACTTCACCATGTTCCTCACCATGTTTGGGGAGAAGCTGAACGGCACCGACCCTGAGGATGTGATCCGCAATGCCTTTGCCTGCTTTGATGAGGAGGCCTCAGGTCAGTACTCATTGGAGACCTGGGCTGGGGAGGGGCCGCAAGGGTGCTCTGTGCCTACAGGGGACAGGGCCAGCCAGACACCACTGCCTCCAAGTTCCCAGTGCCACGTTTACCCAGGCTTCCCACCTCCCAGCTGCACCTGTCGGCCCACGACACGCTGCTTTAAACCTTCCAGAAAACAAACCATGCCATTTTTGACCCCAGCTTCCGTGACAGCAAATTCTCCCTGTCATGAAGCCACAGTCCCTCTGTAGAGCTCTTGGCTCTGGGCCACTCCGGATCTCTCTCATCCATGCCCTTTTCCCTCGAAGTGACTGGAGATCAGAACAGGGTATTGTAGCCCTCTCTCCCTGTGACATCTCAAGGGCCGGGATGGAAGGCGTTGGTGTGGCCAGAGCCTGCTCTCATTGGCCTTGTCGTGCCCTGCCCCAGGGTTCATCCATGAGGACCACTTGCGGGAGCTGCTCACCACCATGGGCGACCGATTCACAGACGAGGAGGTGGATGAGATGTACCGCGAGGCACCCATTGATAAGAAGGGCAACTTCAACTACGTGGAGTTCACCCGCATCCTCAAACACGGCGCCAAGGACAAAGACGACTAGGCTATCCTTAGCTTAGCCCAGACCCTACCCTAGTCACTTCCCCAGCACACACACACTACCCTTCATGAGGAGCTGGGGTTCCGGCTCCCAGCGCAGGAAATGAACCAGAAGACCCACAGGGTGAGGCAGGGGGTCCACCATGACCTCAGGCACCTAGAAGGGATCTCTTTAAGGAAGAGCTGCAGTGGGGAGGGCAGCCAAGGGTGGGGCTGAGGCAGCTGAAGATGACCACCCTGAGGTGTGCCCTTATATTCCTGGGCTGCCCTGAGGAGGAAAGCACCCCGGTCCTGGTGTTGGACACTAATTCCCAGCATCCCCACAAAGGCCCGCACACATTTCCCATGTCCCTGTGGAGGATGACAATCAGCAAGCACTATGCCTGTCCGGTTTCCAGAGCACAAAGGAATGTACAGAGGGAGACTGCCGGGGGAAGCAGCCTCTAATACAAGGCTGAGCACTGCCTCCGTCTGTGTGTGTGTCTGTGACTGGGGAAATTGGGAACATGTCCCATCACATCCTTCCCTCTCATTCCAGCGGCGGCCTGATGCACCTCTCTGTCCAGGGGAGGGCTCAGGGGTCTGCCAGGTACTGAAGCCTCAGAAGTCCCCAGCCCAGGGGCTGGCTCCATGCTCAGCTGAGAGCAGATTAGTCAGTAGAAAGAAGCAGTTCTCTGAGAAGAAAGAACAGTGTGGTGAGACCCAGGGAGTCACCAGGGAGACAGATGGGTTTTGACCACTGGGGGTTAAAGGTTAAGGTCACAGCCCTCAGGACTAAGGCCTGATTTCCAGGTTATGTCACTGTTCTAGAGAAGCTTGAAATTAAGGGGGGGGGGGGGCTCTAAGAACAAGGAAGAAGGGCTGAAGAGATGGCTCAGAGAGAACTGACTGAAGTTCCGGAGGTCCTGAGTTCAATTCCCAGCAACCACATGATGACACACACCCATCTATTATGAGATTTGGTGCCCAGAACACTATATACATAATAAATAAATTTAAAAAAGAGAACAATGAAGAAGAGATTAAGGGGGCTCTAAGAACAATGAAGAAGTAGGTGCCTGGCGACTCAAGAAGTGACTGGTCACCTCCCCAGCTGCCTCCCTCATTCTGTCCAGTTCCAGGAAGCCACAGGGTCCAACCTCTACCCCAGCATATGCACATACACACCCTATTCCGGCACACAAGGTAGGCAGGGCTGGGCCGCCACTACATTTGAATGATGGGGTCACTGACCACACTCCCTTTACACAGTGTAAAGGGAACTGCCTGGTCTCACCTAGTAGTCTATGGATGAAGGAGGGGGCCTCACATGTCCTACCTGACCCCAGCAGAGGCCCAGGATAGGTGCTGGATCCAGAGTGGTCCATGAGAGGCAAGGACAGCACACGAGGGGACGCCAACCCAGCCTGGAGGCTCCATCTGACTACCAGCCTCAACCCTCCTCTGTAGCAGGAAGCCAGAAGCACACACTCTCAGTTTCAAAGTGAAATTTGAGACAATTTCTTGGTCTCAACTCTGGATGGGACCAGGCCTGGTAAGGTCCAAACCAGCCCCAAATAGTGTTCCAAACTCAGGCCCAGCCCCACCTGTAACCCTGAGTGGCCCTTGGCCTGGTACTGGGCAACACATCCTCTTGTTAAACCACTGAGGCACTGAGGCCTGCTATTAGTGCCTTCGGTTTCTAGAAGGCAGGGAGCCAGGCTTGGTGGCTTGCACCTATAATCCCTGCAGACCAAGGCAGGAGAACCATCACAGGTTTGAGGTCAGCCTGGACTGCAAAGTGAGACCTGATGTCAGGAGGGCAAAAAGGAGACAGAGTAAACTCAGGAAGACATCTCTCTGGGATCCCACGTCCAGCCTGGACAAGGGGGGTCATGGCTTTACAGCTGTCATAGGGCTGAAAGGTCGCCAGAGGGGGCAGGGGTGGGGAGTGGGGGGCCAGGGGTGGAGTGGGGAGGCAGAGGGTGGGGAGTGGGGGGCAGGGGCAGGTAAATACTCTGCAGAGTCTGGAGAGTAGGAAAACCAGGTACGGACCAGTGCAGCCAAGGCCTGCAGCAGCAACATGCCAGCTCCGCAGCTGAGAGGAAGATGGTTTCTCATCCCATAAACTGACTTAAGCAACTTTACAAGAAGAAAAAAAAAACCTAAGCAGCTAAGGAGAGGCAGAGGTAAAAGCTCATAGAGCCAAAAGATGATCACAAACTCAGGGCCAGCCTGGGCTACAAATTCATGTATAAATAAACACAAGTTAGTGAGTTTTATCTTCTCGGGTAACAATTAGAGAAAACAGGGAAACATTCCCAGAACTAGAACTTTCCAAGTTTTGCATGAACCCCAGAAGCCACAAATGAGAAGTCGGAAGACTAACGACTATACCATCAAAAGCCAGTGCCAGGGGAGCAGTAGCAGCCAAGTAGGACAGCGCTGAGGGGTTTGGTCTAGCTTGGCGCTGATAACAAAGTCACTGAAATGTAACAATCGTGGCTACAATTTAAACACGTTCCATGGCTTTTCCTCAAACTCACTGCAGGCATTAAAGCCAAGCCAAACAAACAAAGGATTATTTTCTGCAAACCTTTTTGAACTTTCACTATGCTTTTAAATTCTAAAAGAACCGCAACTTGAACCCAGCTGGCACAGATCAAACGGACCCCAGATAAGGACTCGCCTCGTCAGTCAACACCTATGCCGATCGCCTACTCCTGAGGAGAAAGCTCCAAACGTAAGGTTTCCCCTTAATTTCCTTAACTTTAGCTTCCCTAGGCTATATCTGTCTCTGCAGACTTCTACTTGGCTGGTAGACACCATCAACTTCACACTACAAACTGCCGAGTCCTGCCTAGGCTCGGGTTCAGGTCCTGAGATGGGGAAGGGGCGTCAGCACAAGGAAAAATAGGACCACCTGATGGACTGCACACAAGCTGCTCCAAAGAGCTTGAGCCGCCTTTATTTATACTTGAACAGAGCTTGTTCTACCACATTTACATCAACAGTTTTATTATTGGTTTCCATTTTTGACTTCTAAGAATTACATCATAGACACTGTGGGTCTCTGTCCTCCTCAGGGATCGTTGGCCACAGGTCCACGAGAGAAAAGGGAACAGACGCGGCAAGCAGGGATTAGACAGCTATGAGTATGACAGAGTCAGCTTCAGTGAGACAGCTCAACTTTATTCCAGGGAGTAAGGGATATAGCAGCTGGGCAATCACCCATAGGTGCTCACAGCGTGTTTCATTTGCATTTGACAGCGGGGTCCTAGAGCAGAACATTTAGTGATCATAAGGGCCACAGGGAAGAGCGTCTGCAGGGAAAGTGTCAAAGGTCATGCCTAAGATGAGTAAACCAGGCCAGGCTCAGGGACAGACTCCAGATAAGGTCAGGCAAAGAGCAGGAAGCCCTGCTGGGGGAAGGGAGTCTTCCATTTTGCTCAGAGAGCTGTCCCGACATGGAGGATTGCCACTTTAAGCAGCAAGACCTTCCAACAGTCTTCAGAAAAGCCTCCCTTGTTCCCCCCCTTTATGCTTCCCCAAACATATTTTGCCATCCCCTACATAACCTCATTCTAGACACATAGTTCAGCATTTTTCTTAAAGCTTCACTAAATTTGAACCAGGCACAACACATGGCAGCTACTTGCAGTTTCAAACTTAAAGGGTTACAGACATGAGTATATTTTTCTAAGGATAACGATACTCAAACCCAAACAATTCTTTTGTGTAAGTTACGCTTTGATAGAGTTCCCTGGTCTACAAGAGGATCCTACTCGTCTACTTCTTTCTGTAAAGGGCGGACTCCAATAAGGAGCTTTTCCCATCCCACCATCAGGTGGTTCTTCCACCAGTGTAAGCTCCTGTGTATGGTAACTGTGATCCGCCCATCCCACAGTTTGCACTGCAGTTTTTCCTCTTGCCGCATACCAGATCCCACCATTGATTCCTGCTTGGTATCCAGGGCCCCTAACCTCAACAGTGGGCACTGCGTGTCCCCGAGGCCTTTGCCCTTTTCTGTGTATGCATCGCCTTAATCTCCTTCCCAGACTGTGAGGCGGGGCTAATGTTCCAGGTGCTGTCTCCTCATCTGTGCCATCATTTCCTGCCACTACTGTTGTGAATCCCTTTCTCCACAAGGTGATGCTATCTACCTTTCCCTTAGAACAATTATGCTAGCGTGACTGCCTCTACTGAGTCAGAAAAGTTCCCAGGGTTAGGAGTTGCAGTTAATAAATTCCAGATAAGAAGAGAGTCTGCAAGCTGCAAACCCAGCTGTGTCCTGAACTGTTCTGAGGGCCGCTGGTCCTAGCCAAGAAGAGACCATCTCCAATGATTTGCCTCACAGAGACTTGTTGGGCAGGCAGACGTTCATAGCTGATCTGCACGGCTCCCAACACTCCCAAGCGGCTACAAACCCTGGACTTGCTGAAAGCCCCTGGAAGGAAGGTAAGCCGCTAAGGTTCTGAGACTAACCAAGCTGCAAAGCAGAGTCTGAGACCAGCTGCTTGGAACGGACAGACCAGCTGTGAGCTGCCAGGGACGTTTAGACCAACTGAGGCACCCGGAAAAGACGCTATCCAACCTGCTGAGTTTCCTGTGAGCTGTGCAGTGTGCTCCAGGTTCCCAGCTTTTGTCATCTGTCACCCCTGCTGGCGTAGGCTTTGTTGATGCAGCTGTCTCTAAGTTGTTGCTGCTCCTGTAAGTAACCCCAATAAACTCCCTGGTTCCCTGGGCTGGACTTTGGTGAGACCTGTACTTCTGTCTGTTGTGGGTTCCCTATCTGGGGTGAGTAGATGTGTGTTGGGTGTCCCCAGGAAAGCTGTGTCACACAACAGGAGCCAGTCTGGGCTATGTGAGACCCTGGTCTCAAAAATGAAAGTGAGCAGAGAAGAGAGGAAGGCAGGCGTTTTGAACTGGGAGGAAAGAAAGGGAAAGGACAGTTCTAAGTTGAAGCTTTGTTTTTTTGTGGCAGCATCCCAAACTCCATATGCTAACATATGTTCAGAACGACTGGTATTCATGGGGGGGGGCAGATTAAAAACAAACCACTGTATGCTGTCTCACTGTCAAATGTAAAGCAAGAGACAACACCAAACCCTGGCAAAGATGAACAGGAAATGGGGGGGAAAGCCTGCACTGCAGCCAGGCATTTAAGTACAATTTAGCACTTTTACACCCATCGCATGCAGGAAGAAACACGGCTGAAGCGGGGGGGGGGGGGGCTGGAACCTATGTAATGTCCAAGGACACAGAGGCAGGGGGATTGCTCACAAGTTCCAGAACAGCTAGGGGCTGTCATGACACCCTGTCTCAATCAAATCAAATTAAAAGTAAAAACCAGCAAAGAACCATGCTTTCTTTCCCAGATGTAAACGGTTACTTGAGAATCTCCCAAGCAAGATAAGGCTGTCTATAGTCAAAATACGCCTGAGCTCCCTAAATCGATACAAGAAGAAAGTTCTTTAGAAACCTTTT